GTGAACATGGTACAAGAGGTTTGGGTAGAGAGCACGGAAGAAGCCCAAGCCATCCATTACCAACACATGGGTTGATGACCATGCAAAATTCCGCCTTGGGATCTGGAATCACCGCAACACTGGACTTCGGACAAATGGCCTCCTGAAGGGATGGCACTCTCATCTGAACAGGCAGTCATGAAGAGCAACCTCCGATGAGGAGAATGCTGTCCTTAAGAATTCGTCTACTAGTTTCAATTATACCGAGATGAATCAATCAATAAATCAAATACTTATCTAATGACGTTTTTTAAACCAACTCCTCCAAGAAATGTTAAAGTAGGATATTTTAACATTGAAGTGGATAAATTCATTCCAAAATCACTTCGATTTTAAAGGTACCAGCAGTTTTAGCATGGTGCACGATCATGCACCAATCCCAAGATATGCCATCGATGTGGAGAAGATGACCACAATACAGATGATAAATGTGCCAAATACCCTCATTGTGCAAATTGTTTTGAAGATCATGTGGCTCCCTACATGCCCTGTCCAAAGTTCAAACTTCAACTTCAGATTATCAAATAAAGATCAAATTTAACGTCGCATCGGTATTAAGATCTGTACAAACTGGGGTACCTCAGAGATCTGTGTTGGGACCAGTGTTGCTTATCACTCCAATTCCAGACTCGACGTACTGCAGCGAATTAAACGCTCATATATGCAATCGACATCAAAGAAGATCAGCCTGAAAATTTATATGATCAATGTTTTACTTGTTTACCTGTCCGGATTTTATTTATGAAATACAAATATGTCTAAACCAAAACTGAACAGCTGCATGGAAGGAAACATCAATGTTCTATGATATTAGATATTGTTAAAGTCCTCATGCTTCAAGCAGAGATCCGAAAAACTAATGAATCACTAGAAATGTTTGCCCACCACCACCACCACCACACCACACACACACCACACACCACACACCACCACACCACACACACACCACACACCACACACACCATATATATATATATGGTGTTTGAAAGACGAGTGGCAAATGATTTTCTGATCATTTTAACGATTTTTATTACTGAAAGAGCGGTATCAATGAGCTACACAGATCTGTCGATAAAAGCTAAAGTAGCATCATCATCTACGCACTGGTCTTCGCCTCTACAAACTATTACCTGTACCTGTAAATGTGGACAGTCTTCTTACCACCCAGAAGTGTATGTCCAATCACATGGCTTGTTTTCCGCCACGGAAATTTGACATTTTGCGACATCTGTCATTCATTATTTTACTCATTGGCTATCGAAACGAACCCACGCTAGTTCAACTATATGGCACCGGGTATGTAGGCGGCGCCCAGAATGTTTGTTTGAGAGTATCTGGCCAAACATACATCATATATCCTGATGTATAGATGGGTGGGTAGGTAGGTAGGTGTGGAACAAACATGTTTGCAAAACGAACACCTTGGACAAGAAACAAGAGTTTGCCACTAACGTGGCTATATCCCCCGCCCCTGTTGCAGAATTTATGACATTATTAAATCTAAACAAACTCTAAAAATTGTTAACCAAGGTGGAACTTTTCATGGAAATTGTAAAGAAAAGATGAGTTTGGAACCTAAGTCCATCTTGTTGCCATGGAAACGTATAAAATAAAAATTTCTACAATTTCTTAATAGCAAAAGGCACCAGTTCAGCATGTACCTGACAGACCTGCAAAGTTTAATGAAAAAATCTTGAACGGTTTATGAGTTATGCTCCGGAAACGAACCCTACCCTCACAGAACTTAAGTCCATCTTGTTGCCATGGAAACGTAAAAAATGAAAATTTCTAAAATTTCTCAATAGCAAAAGGCACCAGATCAGCATGTACCTGACAGACCTGCAAAGTTTCATGAAAAAATCTTGAACGGTTTATGAGTTATGCTCCGGAACGAAACGTGACGGACGGACGGACGTACGGACAGATGTACGGACGGACGGAGCCCGTTTCTATATCCCCCGCCAACTTCGTTGGGCGGGGGATAAAAAACCTTTGCAAATGTAATAAATCTTATGTAAAAGATTATATTCACTTTGTACCCATGCCAATCAATAAACGAGGCAAATGAAAATGACAGAGAACTTGTTTGTTCATAAATCGTCAAAGGTATATGCAGCATTATGATAATGCCATTACTATGACCACATATGGACCGTCGTGGTGGAAGTGTTTGGATTCTATGTGTTTACTTTGACATATGTATATGAGAAGGTTTCTCACTGGCTTAACCTACGAGGTGTGCGATGTTTGGCAGGAAATGACAGGGCTTTGAGAAAACTTTTTTTTCATTATTTAGCGTGGTGGGTCTCCGTACTTAACCTATACACACACTTTGATTTTTAAACCAACTCAGGGTGTTTTGTCTGGTAGTGGATAATTTGCGCGTATGTAACTGTTAATCAACTGTCAAGTTGTCAACAACAGAATTAAAAAAATGGGCCTTGTACTTTCAGAGGAGATGACATACAGACAACCGGATAACGAACAATGCGCCTTGACATAAAAATGTTATGTGTATTCTATAAAGTTGCTACACAGATAACATTGCTTCAAAAAATCTAGTGTCTGCATACTTCAAATCCATGTATTTATCTCAGCATGATTTACTACAGCGTTACACGTGCTTCGCCTAATTTGCTAGTTGATCCAGATTACTATACTTTCAACAATATCTTGTCATGATACACTGTATTGAGAACACGTCAAATGAAGTGAAGCCTGTATATTTTCAAAACACTCTAGATGGTCTCTGTTCATGGTTGGCCAAGGTGAACAAAATACACTTATACTGTACTGAGGTATCATCCAATGTATACATAATTTCTTTCGTTTAGAGACGGATTAGAATGTAATGACTTTCTCCTAGTTCCTTGTGACAGAACTACAACAAAGTGACGTAACCCCACAATACCAGGCGCTACTGAGTAGTATGTAAGTAAATACAAGCAACAAAGCCATTTCCATAACCACGAGAAATCTCTGCTGAAAGCATAGTCCACAGTACGATTCCGACTGTGTCATGGGCATGTATGGATGAATCAATCTAATAGTAATTATATACCAGGGCCCACTTGCACAAAGCCGTCTTAGCACTACGATGATCGTAACATAGACTTAAGCGCTAAGATCGCTTTGTGCAAGTGGGCCCAGGTGTTCACGAAGAGGTGAACATAACCTGCCCAAGAAGTGGCACCCGTCAAAAACATGCAAAGCAATTATTCCCCTGCAAAATATAAATAATTATAATCTTGATTCTCACTTGTGCTACACGTGGACTTACTATAAACATGGATGCTGAAGGTCAACATCTTAGAAATAAGGTAACATTTAGATAGATCTGAAGCTGAAATTGAAGTTGGCTGACGGTGAAAAAAGTATCTCCTGTGGAAGAATCAAGGAAGGAAGATTCGGTACTCTTTTAACGCTGAGACCTTGGACAATTTGTTTAAGTTTAAGTTGGCCTAACAATTCACAAAGTATGATTAGGTTGCAAAACTTGTCGATTCAGAAATTAGCGGAATCTAACAGAGACAAATAAGCTGTTAAGGGTGTGTGAGGCGAATGAACACCAATGAGAAATTATGTCACTTGTTATTTGTTTAACGTTAATAGCATGTGGATAAGCATGGCTGTTATTGGCAAATAACAAAATTATTACGTGTCATGTGTGATTGTTTCAAAATGATAAGGGCATATACGAAGATATTCTACTGTAGAAACCTGTGCCGATCTACTGCCGAGACTAACTGAGATCATGACTGTTCAGGTATATAATAATAGCAGAATATATAATGTGGCAGAATTAAACATCCCTATAAATGTTCAGAAAGTTGACTCTTTTATTTTTTTAAATCAGTGTTATTGTTTGCGCTTGGACAAAATAGAATGAAATTGTGGCCATATATGATGCATCTGGCACACAGTTTGACAATGGTGATAGTAAGACGCTCTACAATAGGGACTATATCAAACTACTGAACTGTTCCAAATGTATCTTAAAGTAAACTCAACATAGCAACTATACAGATTTCAATACTTTAGGGCATACTTAATCATAAATGCTTGACCAAAATTAGATTTGAAAAAGGGAAAGAGCTTATAACAGGCGGTTAACCAGAGGCCCATAGGGCCTGTTTCGCTTACCTGGATATTTACGCAATCATGACAAAATATGTATACATTTGCACTGTACATGTATATAATACCGCAAATATTTCGGAATTTTTATTCTGTCAGCATTTAAGATGGGTGGATGGCAAATCTAACAGCATGAACGTGTTTTTCTCGAGATACAAATGTAGCATAAAGATCCACAACTTCCCCGTTTACATTTTGAGTCATTTCTGTAGGCGTAAGACGTGGTTCAAATATGGCGCGTGTTAATATATTTCTGTCTGTGGCTGTTGCTTTCTTACCCCATCGCCCAGAAGTAAAATCGTAGTAGTATGTTCCTTGTGGATATATTTCATACAATCATGCGGATACGCCTTGCTAAATTATATAGGATGCTTATTTTTGTATGACTCGGGTGAAAAAAAAGATAAATCTATATGTAGTCCTTAGTATCTGTAGGTTAATAGTATACATATATATCTGTTTCTAGATCACGTTCACATAGTTTTTCTATTGTGTCCAAAAACGGAATTTCAAAATAATTGGAGTCCATGGTAAAATCCAGAGGTTTGTTCAAATAATTTAGGATGTCATAAGACAAGAGTTAATTTCCTGTCTTCAAAGGGCCACAGCATGATACAATCAAGGAAACGTCGCCAATTTGTTCTAAAAGTATTCAGCGACTTGAGGTCCTGTTCTCTCAGTTTGGTTTCCAGAGTTCGTTCTAAGTATCCCAAAACTAACATAGAGTAAGTATATGTACAATGAGGCGTGCTCGGTGTTTCAGTTTCGTAATTTGTGGAATAATGTGCATGAACTTCAAATTGATATCAATGATTTCAACATGATTTAGGGATTGAAGCTGTTTATTCCGACAAGATTCTCCAAGGAATTCGTCATAGAATGTGTTACGTTCTTACTGAATAACAATACGTTTAATTTTGATGTGGAACATTATAGACAAATTAAAGGGTAGAGCAATGGGTACTAAAATGGCTCCCTTTTACTCTATGTTAAAGAAGACTTTTCATGAGTCAAATTATGACATTTCTTGTTTATTCTGGTGTTGGTTTCAAGACTCCACCAGCTGTAGATTGGTGTGTACCCTGGGGGCAAGAGCAGTTTAGCTGTCATCAAAGGTCTAAAAGCATGGCCAGTAAACATGTTTGGTTGTTGTTTAACGCCGCACTCAGCAATATTCCAGCTATATGATGGCGGCCTGTAAATAATCGAGTCTGGAATACACAATCCAGTGATTGATGCCATGAGCATCAATCCACCACTATACATGTACATCGATAGTATGGGCATTTGTCAGTAAAATGTGGGTGGACAACTAACAACAGAAAAGAGAAGATTTTAGCTCATTGAGGCTATAGAAAGGATGACCCCAAAACTGTGACAATCTACAATCTACAGATATTGATATTGTTATTCTTGGCTGGTATGATGCCATATACCTAAAATGTAATATCATTCTTGTGATCTGAAAGAAAATATACCAACAGAATAATTTTTTTTATTAACATATTTATTTTAAACTGATCATTTAACACGTATGCTATAAATCCTGAAAGGTTACATTTGTTTTAGTGTTTATAATGAGTGTTCTTTCAGGAAATCACCATGCAAACAATAATGTTTTCTACTATATCTTCACTGTTCACATAAGACAAGTTCATGACTCCTAAAATAGGAAATTGTTGAATAATCATTTTTGTCAAATTGTGATTGTGGTAAACTTTCAGTATTGCCAATCCTTGTCTGAAGAACAGTGACAGTAGGTAGACAGAAAACATTGTCATGAACAAGCATAAAATATACTTTGAGCACAACTGCATTGTCAGTACAATGAGTTGGATACAATAATGCAAATAGTGCGATACAAATCAAGCAAAGTATTCATTTAGCTGTAAATAAAACTACACTTTTCATGAAGACTTATTTCCAACGGATACACGTTGAATATTTTTCTGACACTGAACGGGTCAATGTATTACCACAATATAGGGAGAAGAAGATCCTGGAATGCCAGTTTTGAAAGCCCATAGCCCTTAATCTTTGCTTACAACATATAGTCTCACCAACAACTTGTGAATGCAACATTCCTGAACAACAAGGATAAAATAATGGCACTCTGACATGTAACACCTGATTTGTTTACCACACCTGCACAATTACTTTCTCAACAGTTTAACCAACGTTTAACAACTCTTAACTGCATGTATAGAAACATTATGTGGAAATGTTTTTTCTGAAATAGTCTTATTACATGTATGTGAATCAACCAACATCTAGGTATCATTTGACAAAGAGAGCATGTACTTTTTCAACATCATAACATACTATACCCAATATAACTGAACAATATAATGACATTGGAGATATGTTAGAATTCAAAACATGATTAAACCTGAATATCTATAAAAGCTTACAAAAAAAAAAGAAAAGAAGAATTTCCAAGCCAATGCATTTGTGAGACAAACAACTTCATTTTGCAATACAGTGACATTTGTCTTTCCAACTGTACTTCTCATCTCCATTCATAACAAAATGACTCAGAGTCTTTAATTGTTTCTGGAGACTAATAAGTGTTTAAAAACATACCGACATCAACTGCAAATAATAACATCACATCATGGATATCTATGCTTACCAAAGAAACAATTTATGGCGTTAGTAATTATATCAGTAAACGTACCTCTAGAATAGGATGGCCCTATTTCTCCTGATTGCAGATGATCTCGAAGTTAAAAAAAAAAAAAAAAAATTAGTGGTACTTATAGTTCCTTGAGTTATCTCCTCTAACACAGGAAAATACTACCTCTGTGAAAATGCAAACCTCCTTATTGCATTATTTCTCCACCCCAATAAATGACAGAATTAACTTACTAATATAATTGCTAACAATATATGAAATTGTTTCTTATTATTATGTAAACATTCCCTCTAGTAGGCTGTTGGGCTCTGACACTTATACACAAACAACATACTACTTATGTTCTTGCGTATTTATGCTTAACTTGAATAACCTGACCTACACAGAGTCCTAATTAAATGAAGAAATTAGAGAATGGATGTTTCAGAGTGATCAAATCATCCTGATGACCAGACACTTAGATTTTGAATTTTTGTGTCAATTTTATCAATCCTTAGTTTTGTCACCTAAGCCTGAGTAATGATGGCTTTCTCTACCCAATCATCAATCTTGTCAATATCATCAGAAGTTTCAGATCTGAACAGGAAAAAAATAGCAATGAAGATAAAGGATTATGATTTTGATAACCATCAGATCGTTTACATTTGTCAGCCTTAGACTTGTTCCAATAAAGATCTATGTCTTTAGATTTTGCCTCTGTGGAGTCTACACAAAAATAACAATGATCAGGAAATGATCAGTTCTTGGTGGGCCAATGTCTACACAACAAGTTTGTTTGTTTGTTGTTTAACGCCAGCAATATTTTAGCTATATGATGTCCGTCTGTAAATAAATAAGTCTGGACCAGACAATCCAGTGATTGACATCATGAACATCACCCCACGCAATTAGGATACGATGACATGCATCAACCAAGTCAGCGAGCCTGACCAACCGATCCCGTAAGTCGCCTCTTACGACAAGCATAGTCGCCTTTTACAGCGAGCATGGGTTGCTGAAGACCTATTCTACCCCGGATCTTCACGGGTCTACACAACAAGTGAAGACCAATCTTTTACCTAAACAACAAGTGAAGACCTATCTTTTACATACACAACAGGTGAAGACCTATCTTTTACATACACAACAAGTGAAGACCTATCTTTTACATACACAAGTGAAGACCTATCTTTTACATACACAACAAGTGAAGACCTATCTTTTACATACACAAGTGAAGACCTATCTTTTACATACACAAGTGAAGACCTATCTTTCACATACACAACAAGTGAAGACCTATAGTGTATCTTTTACATACACAACAAGTGAAGACCTATCTCTTACATAAATGTTGTGTACTCGGTGCATTTGGGTTGACTTTGGCTAGCCATTCTGACCAATCAACGTGGAATAAAGTTATTTGATTCTATTAATTACATTGACAAAAACTCATGATTTGATGTAACAGAAGGTAATAAATGGGTAGACTAGCTAAATCACAAAATACGTAGGAATATTGAACCCAAAAATATTATAAAAAATTTACACAGCTTGCTTGGAGCAAATAAGCAGAAATAATGAAAGTTGGAGGTTTGCACATGCACAGACGTTGTATTCGCCTGCGCTAGGACAGATAACTCAATTATGGAACTACATGTTAAAAGAAAATTAGGGAATAATTACTGAATTATTTATACATTTGGTCACAATAAGTACATATCTAGGAAACAACAAAGTCATTAAGATAAAAATGTTAATAGAATCAGGCTTAAATTGCTCTCTTAGCCATTCAACAGATAAAGCAAAAAAAGTTTCAGTTCTCAGAATATTTTTGAACACAAGCAGAATATAAATTTTTAAGAACAATGGAATCTTTTTGTAGCTAAATTAAACATTAATGTTTCCATACCTACATTATCATCTTTTCAATCTTTTATAATACTCAGGTCAGACAAAAAGAATTTCTTGTATAACAGATCTGCTGTACTGTTTTCACCCTGATGTAAAAATATAACAATATTAAATATGATGATTGTATTATTTAATTATTTGCCTTGATTGTGTATAATGCGCTTTTATATTCCCCCAGCTGGGGAATTAACTACATAAATAACAGTTTCTTGTTGATAGTCTGCTTTTCAATCATCCAAGAACCCCTTGACAATAAAAATCTTCTTACAATTTCCGCCCAACAGATATTTTAGTTTGACCACCCACATTTTCTTTACAATCCTACTATCGAGGTATGGTGACCATAATCCCTAGAGACTCTGTCTATGTTGCTTCATATTAGTAGGTCATTTCATTAGACTGCTTCTCAGTGATGTATTTTTTACCCTACTTTTTATTTTTGACTACAAAAGTGACTGTCGGAGAGTTAAATAAGTGACTAAATCTGTCTCGTCTAGCAGCCGATGTGTTCAGCCTCACTCCATAAAGATAAATACCAAGGCTAATCTCGTAAAGTGCAAATACAGCTGGCATTGACCAGAAGTCGAGTTTTCATTAGAATAAAATAAAACTTGTCTTTTTTTATGACCCTGCAAAGTTCACTTTCACAGCCTTAAAAAGTTTGAAGAGAGCATTATGAAGCAGAGTTTAAGGTTGAAATCATGCACTGCATACGCACATACTTTAAAAAGTTAAATAATTATTTAATTGTGTTGATCGGACTAATTCCAACAAAAGGACTTTTGCAGTCAAATGTTACCCCAGGTATGACAACTTGTTCAGTTGTTAGTAGAATAGTACTGGCATGTCTGGGAAGGAACTGGACAGCGTGACACGAGACCAGAGATTGTTCAAACAGCTGGATTCTCTCATTCAGAAGGCACACTTGAGGATATAAAGTGGGATATTCGTCAATAAGGACTTTCATGGATCATAACCCTTTTACAAACTAATTCCATTTTCACATCATTTATCTACATTGTACCATCATATATTTTGGGAACTTGTCAGTATATTTGTGCATACTGTGATCAATATTTATTCTAATTTTACTCAAAAGAAGCAAGATTTAAGACAGATTTATGGTAATATGAAAGATTTGGGTCGTCTTTAACTTTTTTTGAGAAGTATAGTATGATTACTATTGTTTAATTATACCATCATCGTGATTATGTTGTGTTTCCTCATCCCTTCTTCATGTAAGTATTCTCAGGTTATCTTTTGAGTCATTCTCTAGGTTAAGTCGGAAAACAAAGCAAAAATAATGAATGGAAATAAAATGTTCACACTCAGATACTAAAATTAATTTCACTTTCAACAAAAGAAACAATCCTAAATGAGTGTGTTAAAGATTTGGCCTTGATATGCTTCAGGCAGTCTGGACACTGGTAACTGTCTGTTGCTTTTGATATGTCCTGGAGGTGAGTATATGACAAATTCCAGTTAAGCTGTCATTGCCATTCATCTAATATTAACTCCCCCTTCAAATACATCAATGGTAAAATGTCTACATTTTGTGCACTTACTAAATATTGATTCAAAATAACAAACAAATTTAGGCCTCTTCTGATTTGGGGCTGTGGGGAATTCTTCGTTTGGCCTACGATTCCATGAAATGTTTGAAGAACATTGGTGACATACATCAAGTATACCTTGGCTGTTACCTTTCCTCATGTCTATCTATCAAGTCTTGATAGACAGTTAAGAAGTGGTACTAAATACATCAAGTGCAGTAAGAATGTTACTTAAAGAATACATAATTTAAGATAATTTATACAAGAATCAAATATACACTACAGGCTCAACTACAGCCCATCTTGGCTTGATTACACTTATTATCAAATTGGAAAGTACATAGTCACATCAGAAGAATTAGACAAATAATAGAATTATCATGACTATTTAATATGCATGAATACTATATACAATAGAAGAAACTAGAACCACTTTCAATATAGTCAAGCAGGTGACAGAATGCTAAGTTGTATGCAGAAGGATGTGTCAAGCACTTTACAACAGCCACATGCTGAGCTGAGTAGATCATTCAGAGAAATTAGAACAAAGTGGTTCATAGTCTCAGTTAGGGGCATGCTAGTTTACACAACAGATTGAATATTATCTCGTGATGACAGACAGTGCACATGCTTGAAGTTCTTTCTTTCTTGGGTGACAATGAGACAATGTTAAAACTGAAATAACATGGTGTTGAGAACACAAGTGGAATGTGTAACATATTGGCTGCTGTGTCAATGCTCAATTGCTCCTACATCCGTTGTGCCAAAAGGCTTTCATACAAGCCCTTCATCTTCAGACTCAGCTGACTGAATGATGGACGATGAGTTTTCCTGAAAAGGATTAAAGGGATAGATAAATATAAACCTTAAACTTTGTACATGTGCCATGACACTGTAGCTCACCTGGACATGTTTCCAGTAAAAATATGTCAAAAATTGCAGTCAGCATTGTTCTTCAAGTATGTTCTGTAGAAATACTAAGGACAAAATTAGTAACAAATATGAAAATATTAATTAAATATCCACAATGTTTCTAAATCTGCAAGAATGAACATATTATTGTAGAACATTGTTGCAATACACAGCAGTTAAATTTACTTCATACAAGTTTCAATTGTGAGCTATATATACACTTTAAAGAAAAAGAGTTTTCATAATGTCATACAATTTTTCCATTTGCTTCACAAAAAAAACCCAGTAAAATCCTAATAATTTGAACCATGTCATCATAAGCAGAAAATACATGACAACGTTCAGCTTCCTCAGTCTGGAAATTACAGTTGGAAGATGTTAACAGAGCTAAAACTGCACTTTGAGAGAGTGTAATAGCATTACAGTAAATTCTAAGTAGTGAACAATGGCCATTTTTCATGTTGCAATTTTGAACTCTTGAACAAATTCAGGTGTTATCATTGATAGGAACAAGCATGTGAGGTTTCAATGTCATTGGTCAAGTGGTTTCTGAGGTGATTATGTTTACTACCATTGCCACCAATGAACACCGGCCAAGCAGGCCATGACATAAGGTCACTTGACTGTCAGTTTGATGAGCTAAAAATGAAAAAATCAATTCTACACACACAAAAATTAAATTATCAATATATGTCAGGACTTGACACATAGCAATACAGGAATCGTTAAGAAAATATAATTTGATGATCCCACCATCGTCAGTCGCCCAAATGCATCTTGCGGATGCGGCTCACAAACATGCCAATTCCCCAAAATGCTTCCAAATGCAAATGATGTGACCACTGCATTTGCCTGATCTGAACATAAAACTTGAACACCAAGGCCTAGGAGAGAGCACAGTTATCATTTACCTCTCCTCTGCAGCCACATGTCACTCCCAGAAAGCAGAATGTCAATGCTGTGTCCAAGCATGATAATGCCAGACCACACACAGCACGACTAACAACAGCATACCCACATCACAAACAACATTCAGGTCATGCCATGGCACTCTAAATTATCAGACTTGAACCCCAATGAACATTGTGGAAGGAGTCAGATAGACACTGGCACTACAAGCCAATTTGGCCACCATTCCACAAGGTCTGATTCATACCCTCCCCATTGTTTCCATCGGCAGGAGATGTCAGGCAGAGGTTAAATTTTCGAAACGATCTTAGCTAAGATTAATCTTAACAACTTACATTCAAATATAAGATATCTTAATATACAATACCATAATTTTTGAAACTATCTTAAACCTGTTGTATATTGTACAAAGTTACAACACAAATCGTAACTCATCGCAACAGAGAATTCATTTGTGTTGGATAAAAAGTGGGTATTTTATGATGACAGCAAGGTGATTTCCCAGCTGCAGACAACAGCATGGAGAAGAAACATGCATCTTCCTGAGGCAAGATTGTTAACTGACTATAAAAGTCCAGTTTCCAACCTTGCCGAACTTGGCTGGAATTACTGGGATCGATCGCAGCGCCACCAGTGGCTATTACCAGTTATGTCCCTTGTAAGCCTCTCCTGTTGAACCATTAGATTCCATCTCTCGTATCACTTGCATTTGCTTCAAACCCAATAGCGGCGTCCAGTCAGGACGATCTGATCGATAATAGAGATCTATATTGTGATAAAACGGGTCTTACATCTCAAAATGCATCAAATCACGTGAGCACCTTGATTAAAAACATGAAAAGATTTGGAAAATATCTGCTGACAACGAGTTGGCCGTGCAAGTACTTTGCAAATCCTGCAATCGATCGAAATCTGCACGACGGATTTCGATTTCGGTGCGTGATTTTGATTGGACTATGCATAGACTCGTTAGTCCATCCAAAATGTAACTCCATAATACCTGCGTAGTTCGGCAAGGGTGGAAACTGGACTTGTAAAGTCAGTTAACTCTCTTGCCTCGGGAAGATGGCCACAGACAACAGCATGGAGAAGAAACATGGAATTCATAATTGGCTAATTTTTGTCATCAGGTCACACTGTGTAATACGCATCCATGAGTAACTTTCTGCACAATCCTACATACATGTTTATTCTACATGTCAATGTATTGTTCTAATTACAACAGATGCCAAGACTACCTTAACACAATACAGAACGACTGTGAACTGAGCTTTAATCATACAACAGACCCACTTAAATCCTAATGAACATTTAATTAAATTATTCAAAGCAAGGTAATTCATTTTCACACAAAAATTAGCATTTCAACTTGTATTTTTTTAAGTAGGATATATTAAACAGGGTACAGAGTTAACTTCACCCTTAAGTACATTATCAACACCTTCTTCCTGTTAACATTAAAAGTTTAGTTGCCTCAAAAACACCATTTAATGTGTCATTTTACGCTGACCAATTTTATACTTTGTAAACAGCGACCAGCTGGTGTAAACCTTGGATTAGACAAGGTCAAGGTCATAGAATAGATCAGAGAAGCATATGAAACATGAGCAGATTATGTGCATTTAGACGTGTCATCAACAGCAAAGCATCTCTGAATGTATTGCTACAAAATAATAATGATGACTACAGTATCTTATCCAGTTATAGTCACCTCATTCACACAGAAAGGAGAATAATATTATCCTTGATTGGTATCCACTGTAAAACCCTTGCACCATAATGCATATTAGCTACTTGTATGACAACTTTCTGAAGGCCTGCATGCTATCGTCACATTTCGGAAATCTTTTTGAAGGATACATATCATATATGCAGTTGAGAATAGTTTCAACTACATTCTCGTCATACTTAAAAATACTTATAAATATGAACAACAGAATTCTAATTATTCTAATCTCAATATATTACTGAAAAAGATCTTTCCTTAAGTTTTGCTGTCAACATTTGAAATAATTGCTCTATTTAATTGAATAATTGTATGCCTTTAATCACGTTCTTAAAACATATTGTTCTACTGGCAGTAAATTTTATTCACTTGGAATCAAATAGTTATCTTTTAATACTTTATATAATCTAAAACAAAATATAAACAAAACAAACTTTAATTATTTTTGCAAGAAAAACAAAATTAAACATACACTTAAAATATTTTATCATGTGTATTTCCTTGTTAAATTATTAAATATATATATATATATTAAAAATTCAATTCTGAAAACTGTTCAATTAGACAGTCAGGCTCGCTGACTTGGTTGATACATGTCATCGTATCCCAAATGCATAGATCGGTGCTCATCATGTCAATCACTGGTTGGTCTGGTCCAGACTTATTTATTATTTATGAACCGCCGTCATCTAGCTGGAATATTTGTAAGTGTGGTGTTAAACAACAAACAAACAACAATATCATTATGGCACCCTCCCTTTAAGATTAGATTGATGTGTTTATATTGGAAAAAGCAGACAGAGTGGCTACTGCCCCTTGAAAATTTTATTTCAAGAAAGTTTCTTCCATTGCAATTATTTCTGCAAAACTCGAACGAGAATGGTCAGTTGATGACACTAATCAAACTTCATAGACTAGGTGTACCTATCGATATAAGGTCACAATAAAATAAGGTCACAATTAAATAAATGACCAGTCCCTAACATCCCTTTATCCTCAAACATCAGAGTTACTGCAATTTAAGAAAATCTCTTACTCAAACTTCCAGCATTCCATCATGATCTCATATGCTTCATCACAACATGTCTCGGGCTTCTCCAGGCGGCGGCCATCTTGTAGGAACTCAAGAATCGCTTGACCTTTCATTTTCTGCAACAAGTTAAGTGATTGAGAAAACTTTTAAGTTCAAATCTCCATAACTACAGACAGCTATATCACAGTGTTTCCCCATTGTGACTTAGGTCTTGAAAAGCAGTGGTCGTCAGGGTGAGTATGGATCCACATAAGCAAGGTAAATACTAAGGGTTACCCATTCCATCTATATTAACACTTAGCAGTCATTTCAGTCACCTAATCTTCAACTTATTTCTATCCTAGGATTAAGTAGAGTTTCAAGATGACATAAAAAGTTAGTCTCTCAAGTTTTATGTCACAATACTGCCTTGAGGGAAGTCCAGTGCTTCAAATTTAATCCCTGAATCTTTTATTGTATTTTTGGAAATAGTAAGAAATGATTTTCGACTTCCTGCATGCATCTGGCTACACTTCCTCCAAATAAGACCATGATTCCCTTAATCTGGGTTCCAGCTGAAAATGACCCTGCAGCCACGAATTTCCCATTATTGTAAGAAAACCATGAAGTTCCTCATTTTTATTCTACCCATCCTCCTGTTATTAGTGACGTTATAGCATTTTGGTGGAAGGATTACAACTGGAAGTGAATAAAGTATTCATGTATCTAGGTTGAGTCAAGAGACCATTTCTTGATGGAGATACTATTAGTACAAAGATGAGCAACTTCAGAAGGACGGCACACAGGTAAGCCACCTTGGACCTGTCAGTACCAGCTCCAGTGATTGATTGAGTTTTCCTAAGAAGTCAGGTAAGAATGGGATTGAGCCTGGTGACAAATAGACCCAGATGTGGGGGGCACCAAACCATGAGGATTTCCCCTCATCCCCTTATGAAGAGGACATCTGCCAGGACATTATCTGTACGTGATGTGCTACAAAATGATTCCATAATTGTTCAGGACTGTGATAGATCACTCGAGGGGAGCATTTTCTTCTTGTTGGCACAAGCTACTACCGATGTATCAAGATGGGGGACCCATCGACTGCTTCCATGTCCAACAATGTTCTGAGGTGACATTGAATCTCTTGTTCAATGAAAATGATTGTGAGGGTTTTGATGAATCAAGAGGTGACTTTTGAAGGAGAAACCCCTCCGAGGGCCACTGAACTACTGAGAAGCCAAGTATTTTCTCAAAACAGCCAGGAAGTGTGACAATATTGCCACAGTATTGCAACACATCCAACAGTCAGATTATATTGATAGAACAACCCATGGGAAAGAGAAAATGACAAATATCCAACAATACTTATCATTGTTAACAATTTTAAGAAAACTACCCCTATGACATCATTGCCATAAATACTGCATATTGGTTGCCATTACATTTTAACCAAATCTGCAGAAGTCCTCTTCTCTGTCAACTATCCACAATTAGTTGTGCCAGTAATAGAATCTTGGTTATCGGATATCCTTGCGCATCTGCAAAGCAGGAAACACCTCACCTCACTTCTTTCCGATGTCAGAGTTATATTTTGCAAAAGACAAAAAGTCTTTTCCTATGCCTCCTGTGAGAATTTGTAGCCGATAATGATTACTTCAAGGTACGACTGGGGCAAAGGAGATGATCCGAAAGTCAACAGTTCTTAAGCTGGAATAAGGAATTGTCTTGAACCAGAGTACCACAGTAGTAGACTGTTTTTTTGCCACAAAATTCGGGAAAGATTTGATAGTGATAGAACTCCAGTCATCAGTGTGAGTGAGTCCTGAGTAATCCAAGGCTTGAATTCCGGCCGCTGTGGCCATGGCCAGGTGAAAAACAGCTTTCCGTGACTTTTGGAGCAGAGAAGCTTTGCAAGAGTCTCATATGGTTCTGCCAGAAAAGCCAGCAGGAACAGTGAGAGATTCCATTTTTTAAAAAGTCTACGTATTTGGACATTGTCCAAGTAAAATGATTGCGTAAGCCTGTTGAATCTAGGACACGGTCTAGAAGAGACCAAGAAGGAAAGGCCTAGGCTATCATCCTGTTCCAATCCATGGATAAAGTATCCAAGTGCAGTACCTGCAGATCCAGTACTGGATTTATATACACTGGTAGTTTGTGACTGAGGCATGCAGCAAAGAAATCCTGAAGAGTTTTTATGCTCAAGGAAAACACCTCCAGATGAAGTGCCTATTCTGTCGTAAACACGGGCAGGATGTTGAGTTTCCCGGGAATGTGTCTCACTGTTATCCAGCAGTTCAAGTTGGGTAAGGCCAAATGGCTGTATATCTTCCGTCATTAAAATATGTGACCTGGTACCACCTTGTCATGGGACGTTCACAACAACTGTGGTATTGTCTGTGGCCACCAAGATCCAGGACAGATGTAAGTGGTAATTGATGAGGAGTTACTTCTCTGAATCGGTCCACAACCAATAACAGTCAGGTTGTCCATGTGAACACCCCACCCTGAGCTTGATGCATCTGTGAACAAGTGATAATCGAGCATTAGGAACACAAGTCGAATTCCCTGTATGACATTGTCTCTCTGCATTAACTAGCTGAGGTCCAGGATCATGAATCGTGGGATCTATGGAAGGAAGTCCAAGAGAAGAGATCTGTTCTTGTTGAGCCATACTACAATTGGACGTAACTGTAAATAGCCTTTGTACGTCATGTCATTGACCTTCCTGAGGTATCAGTCTTTAGGAGAACAGATGCTTGCTTCGACCGTTTGAAACCTCATTCCTGCATATACGATGTCCTGAACTGGATCCGTTTTCTGACTTGGGTCAGATGTATGAAGAAACCTAGATGAGCCTTGAGTCAGATAAGGAAGATGGTGCTTTGCTGAAGTTGACTCTTTTCCTGATCGGCCAGGAGTAAGTCATCCAGTTAACCTGGAATTCGTAACAGCGTCCATTGATTGCGAAACATGGATACTCTTCTGTGAACCCGATGAATCGGCACATGGAGATGGGCATCTTGAAGATAAACACTTAGCATCCAATCTCTACCATGAGAAACTTCCTTATGGATTCCATTTGGAACTTGGGTGAGGAACAAGAATCGATTTGTTGAGGATATTTAGATCTATAATCATCGTCAATACCATTGAATCCTCTTTGGAGCAAGAAATACTGGCAGGTAAAACTGTGCTGCAGTCCAGTGGTGTTAGTGTCTGTCTGAAATGCATCCTTTCCACTGAGGTCTGAATGGATGAGGAGGCTTCCTATAACTTCATCCCTTTCAGCTGATGTTCGATGCCTTCGTGACAACAGAGGTATAATGTGGCGTATTCCTGCCACAAACCAATTAATATAGGCACCAACATCCATTGCATGCCTAGAATTAGAATCTGACAACCCTGACTCCCAGACAGTAATCCTGGTGATGACTGTCAAGTAACATATCATCAAGTGCTGTGCTGTTCAGTATCCAGTGGTGACCAACTCTCAGATATACATTTCTTCCCTGTCCTGCATCCCTTGTGGTAACTGCCTTCGTAGACCAAGGGGATCCCACACAGTCTTTGCCTGACATCAGCACAAGCGTGGAAACTCACTATTTCATGTAGACCCCTGTCCTAGGTACTGTGGTGTGTCATCGAAAAATTGCTTTCAATTTCAAGAGTAAGGAGAGAATCTCTGGGGTTACTGATGGGGACAGGTCCCACAAGAGGTCTGTGAAGAGGAGGTAGAAGATGATTCCTTGTGACCTCTGGCCACTTGGCTAGGGGATTCTACTGAGTCTATGCTCATTTAAAAGACTGGACTTCAGCCAGCATGGTTTTGAGCCTGCTGTCGAACAGAGTCGCCATATTCTCCTTTTGTTTCGAAAATGGTTGTTCAAACATGTTCATTGAGAACGGTGGAGAAGGGTCATCTGGGAGCAACTTTGCATAGACAGGTCAGTACAGGAGAGGCATCAATAGGTAGAGACGATAGTGGAAAGGGAAGATAGAGTGTCCACTGTTTTCTTCACTGCTTCCCTACGTCATGCCTTATTCCAGACCTCTGCCATCTTGGTGAAGTTTGACAGTGATAAAGATGAGTGCGGCTCACACCGTTTAGTTTCCATACATGCAAATTACCGGAATCACCAACAGTCCATGAACTGATGAGGAAGACGGGGACGCCATCCTGGCCCCATAACAAGTCTACCTCTCTACATACTGAAATATTCTAGAAGATAACACAGAACTACAACACGAAGAATTAATTAAGCAATGTAAACTGAAAAAAAAAATTACTTATAGTCTGATAACAATACCAATATGCACTAGGATTTTAGATTTTCTATCCAGTGAGATGTTTCCACCTTGCACGTGTGCAAGGATACTGGGTTTGCGAGATGCAATTACTGGCACAACTAATTGTGGATAGATAACAGAGAAGAAGACTTCTGTTGAACCTCAGAAGATTTAGTTACAGTGTGATGGCAATGCTGTAAAAGAGGTTTTGTATTGGCAGGAATTATGCTACTCCAAGAAGGAGTGGGGCAGAGGGGGTAGTGTTACAGTTATATTCATCTCTTGAACTACTGTTATCATGTGGTGTGACATAAAATGTGACTCATTCAAACCAGAGATTAATAAACCAAAGTATTATCTTGTCTTCTGTTACACTTGATTGGGCATCTTATGTACAAATTCTTACATGGTATGGCTTCTTTCCAAAAGATAAGGCCTCCCATAGTGTGACACCATAGCTCCATACATCAGAACGGGAATCGAACTTGAAGTAGTAAATGCATTCTGGCGCATACCACTTCAATGGCCATTTCCCGGCCTCTGAGGCCTGAAAAGAACAAATGTTCAAAGTAAATAGTTAATAAAACGTCAAAGGCTTGTCTTTTCAAATGACTTATAAGGACTGTGGTTACTATGTGCTAACATTTCATTTTCTACTGAACTGTACTGGCATGACATTTTATGTATTAATGAAGCAGCCTTACATACATACCAGCACACATGTCCAGTGTGATACCAATACTGAGGACACTAAATACATATGTGCTGTAATGACATCACTTCTAGTCTAAGGGCATTATTTCTGGTATGGTAAACACATGCAAGACAATGTTAAATCAGAAAGTGGTACACACTTCCATCTAAGTAATACCACTTTCAGTTGTGAAAAACACATGTCAAATGCAGCGTGACCTGAAAAACTAGAAAGTTGCCTGTCTCTAGCTACCTAAACAAGTAGCTACAAAATGTGAGCAGAGCTCACTAATACCCCCAACTCCGACTCCAACATATTTCTTAGTTCAAAACTGGAAACAATTTTTTCTCAGGAATCAATCGAATCAAATTTTGCACTGTACCTCTGCTATTGGTATATCCAAAATATCCATGAAATAGTTGTAGGTCGCACAAATGTTGAAGTTATAAATAAAAATCAAAACATGAAAAAAATCATTTTTTTTAAAGAAAACAAACATATCGAAAGTAAGCTCTGCACTGCATCTTTCCTATTTGTAGGGTTCTATCCCTTAACTTAATAAAATAAAATGATCCATGCAGTAGTTTTAAGTTGTAGGTCACAAAAATATTTAAGTACATGTAAAAGGATTCTAAGCCAAAAAATTAAAACATGCTGTATTTTTCCAGAAAATCAAAATATTGAAATCAAACTTTACACTGTATCTCTCCCACTGGTACTGGTATAGTTTGAAAAGAATCTATACACAAAGAAAAAAGTATCGCAACATCCAGATATGTAAGCTGTCAAGTGACCATGTTGACATATATATACAGAGGCAATCTTGAAATGAAAATTATGGCATGTCCTGTCCTCCATACCAGTCATGATGAGATGCATGTCGGGCACGTGTCCGGTCTACGGCACAAGGAAAGCATGCACCTCTTGCAACGTGAAAATCATGTTTTGGAGATCTGTCACTGTATTGAGTAAAGGTTACAAGTCATTGTTTCCTCTGTCAGAATTTAGCAATGGGTCCTCAACAACTCAAAACAACAAAAAGATGGCAAGTTATTGGCATGAGCAATGCTGGTATGTCAATGAGAGAGATTGCAAGGCAGCTGGGTCACCATCCTTCAACCATTAGTCGATTGTTACGAAAGCATCATCAGACCAATGATGTCAAGGACCGCCATCGTCCTGGTAGACCTCGCTGTAAGCCAGCAAGAGAGGATGCAGCTCTTATGAGGATTGTACGGCGGTTTCCTTTTGCACGAAGCACTGTTCTGAAAAGGGAGTGGTTACCTCACCATCGCATATGCCACAGAACTGTCCGTAATCGACTTAAAGATGCTGGATATCGTGCCAGGAGACCTGTCAGAATACCTCTGTTGTCACGGCCGAAAATCCATTGGTCTGACGAGAGTCGCTTTCTGTTGTTCATGTCAGATGGTTGAGCATGTGTTTGGCGACGTAATAAGATGGCATATGCTGAGAGGAACATTCTGGAACAAGTTCCATTCTAGGGTTGTTTTCTCATATGACTGCAAGCTGCCACTGGTAACAGTGAGAGGCAACCTTAATGGCCAACGATACCAAACAGAAATCCTTGACAGGGTTGTAGTGCCTCATTTTGACAATGATGCTCTAAACACAAGGCCAGTCTTCATGGATGATAACGAGCGACCACACTGTGCGCGTGCTGTTGTGGATTTTCTGCATCAAGAGGCTGTCACTACCCTACCTTAGCCAGCCAGAAGCCCAGACCTATATCCCATCGAGCATATCTGGGACATTCTTGGACGTAAAATCCGTCAGAGGGAGCCACCAGTGCAGAATGTTGATGAATTGGAACAGGCACTACACCAGGAGTGGAACATTCTCACACAGGAACAGATCAGACAAATCATTAGGTCAATGAGGAGGAGGGTTGAACAGGTGATTCAAGCTGGAGGAGGTTACACCAGATACTGACATTTTTCACTGTTTTGCAAACTCGATGAACTTCCCGAGGATGACATGAATGGAAATTGACTTATGAATTCAGATAGACCTGTTCTAGCCATAGTTTTTCGCACTGGATACTTTCCATTTTTTTGGTCTTTTTGGTAACTCAACATAAACACATTATGATCTTTACCGACAATTTCATTCCAACGTTTTCTTATTGTTCAATATTTGCTCTACAAAGAACACTGAGACACCATTGGTTTACACACGTAATATAGCGATCACATCGAATCAAACACCAGTAGTATAATCAAATAGGGTTGTTGCGATACATTTTTCTCTGTGTATATGTAGCATTTTTCATGTTATATAGGTTGCACACATGGAAGGATGGACAGATGGAATTCCTTGGTATAACTATATATAATAAGAACGTTACATGTACTTCTGGTTTAATTACCCTCATTTGCAATCACGTTTGATTATTTCTAGTTCTTACAAACAAGTCAAGCAAATACAAGGAGTTGGTGGAGTACACTACCTTATGAATGACCATTCAAGTGATCTTGAACTAAATGAAGGCTGCTCAAAATCTTACCAACTACGAGTAAGTATCATCTGTCTGAGTAAGAGTATATGTTGGTGAAACTACAGCATGCCATTTCAGTCGGCTAGTTCAAGAAAAATGTCTGAAGTCTGGATTAGTGTGCATGCATGCAAGCACCATTATACCTCCACTCCTTTGTAAGAGAACTCTTGAGTTATGATGAACCTTATATATTTGTGAGCATATGACCTTGAAAGAGTATTGTACCTTCAATATCTGTTGAAAGTATTTCAGGAACATTGCCAGCATACACACCAAACATGTAACAATGAAAATATACCACATGCTACTCATTGAAAGTAGGTCACTACTGATAGAAGCTTGTCATAACTTTTCATGTAAAAGTTTTTGAATAATATAACTATCAGATGCATAAGATATGCATTTTCAAAGATGACCTCCACTGCGACCTCAAACATTCTCAGATCCCACTCCAAGATTGACATGCCCCAAAAACCTTCCCTCCAAAACAATGGATGATGAACCAAGTGAACATTGAACAATCATTGTTTATAATTCTAGGAATACTATACTGAAAGGCAAAAGAAACATCACTTCTGAAAATACTGATAAAACTTAACAGACACTGGCAGTTACCCGTTCTGTGGTCAATAAACTCATTTAACGTTCTACTGCTTCTTTTTGTTGACTTAAAGTCCATTTAACAATTGAGTTTAAAATGGAGTGCTTTGCCCCCCCCCCACCCCCCCCACCCCCCCCCCCACCCCCACCGACGACCGACCGCGTAGTGGTCGTCCTAGAGTCACTACACCCAGACAAGATCGGTTCATGATACGCCAACATCTGCAGAACCGATTCCGAATGGCCACTGAAACAACTCGGCAAACCATTGGCAACCTCCAGCGTGCAATTAGTGTTCGCACAGTCCGACGTCACCTAAATGCCAACAACATCTCGTGCCACCGTCCTGCTCTTGTACCCATCCTGAGAGATCGTCACAGAGAGGCCCGACTGTTATGGGCCAGGCAGCATCAAAATTGGCATCAACAGCAATGGAGAAGAATCATCTTCACTGATGAAAGTCGCTACTGTTTCAACGGTGGATGGCAGAGTCAGGGTCTGGCGAAGGAGGGGCAAATGTTATGCTGATGCTTGTGTTATGGAACGAGACCCGTGGGGCGGCCCAAGCATCATGGTTGGGTCGGAATCAGACTGAACCAGAGAGTGGGACCTGTGGTCTTTCAGAATATTGGTCCAGGCAGGGGTAATGCCATCACAGCTCTCCGCTACATTGACCAAGTCCTCAGACCCCATATCGTACCTTTTTTTGCCCATCATCAAAGCCACACCTTTCAGCAAGACAACGCCTGTCCCCACACTGCCAGAGTCACCAGGGACTTCCTCCAGCAGCACAACATCTAAACCATGCCTTGGCCTGCCCTCAGTCCGGATTTGAATCCCATTGAACACTTGTGGGATGATATCCAACGCTGACTCAATGACGTACGCCCAAGACCGACAACTGCAGCAGAACTGCATGTAGCGTTCCTGAGGATATGGGCCCATATCCCAATGGCCTTCATCAACAGGCAAGTCCACTCCATGTACAGGAGATGTGTGGCTGTAGTCAACGCCCATGGTGGCCACACCAGATACTGGTTTTGAACCCCCCAGCTGGGATGTCTTCTGGTGCCTCCCCAAATTCACAATTTGCAAAAACATTCCCCAGACTGTTAATTTTATGTGGGTCAAACACTGACGTTCTCCAATGTCTTTACTTACATATATAAGCATTTGAAAATAAAGATATTTATATGATACATCCACATGACGTTCCTTTTGCCTTTCAGTGTAGTTCTATCACATCATTCCCATAAATCCTGTATTTTGGCTGCAGTCACACTTTACTAAAACTTTCAGATTTTCAACTGGGGTCCTCTGACAACTTAGAATTAGAGCTAGCATCTTACAGCTCTTATATGTGCAAGGCAGGGAAAACTTCACTTCTTTCCCAATAATACATAAGCCTACTAGAGGCAGATGCTTAGGGAGGTGGGATGTAGTACTTCTGATGTAATAGAGGTTGTATTCTTAGCATTATAAACAATGATAACTATTGTTCGATAATTCTTGTGAATACTATACCTCTATTACATCACTGCTAGAATATACCAGAGGGAAGGCGGGTTCTGCCTCTAGTACACGCCCAGTATAGTTGACAGCAGTATCAAATAATCCTTGTGCTTCCATCGTATAACTGATCCAAATCCCTGAGAGATGTAATGTCTAAACCATTTCCAGAGGACTTGAAAATCATGTAGTGAAATCACCAGTCAATACTGTTTCTCTAGAACTA